CCTTTTGGATACATTTCATCTTCCATGATCAAATGGTCATTTGATAAAGGGAAAAGATTGTTTTTTGGAATTAAGCACAAAGCTACACAATAAGCTATCTGTGCTCTTGCCCATCACGGGTATCGAAACCCGGATTCTAACGTTGTAAGTCCACAGACATACCGCTGTGCCACTGGGGGTCGAAGGGAAAAGAAAGTACATAATCCATAACATCTACATGGTGGTACTATGAAGTTAGCAAGCAGTGTTTTCCTAAGCCATCCTGGTATTTGTATATCTAACAAGATGGTTGGGGTTTTGGGAGTAGCCATTCGTTCCTTAGATTCCAGGATTAGACTGTCAGTGGCATCAAATAAAATCAGAATAATGGAGGATCCTGCCAGCAGAATATCGTCTTTTAAAAGCTAAACATCAGCTGCATTTAAAATAAAGTGTATTTTCAGGTGTATTAGGGTAATCAATGATATCATGTATCCTCCTATCCTGCGGCAAAATATCGTCTTTTAAAAGCTAAACATCAGCTGCATTTAAAATAAAGTGTATTTTCAGGTGTATTAGGGTAATCAATGATATCATGTATCCTCCTATCCTGCCAGCAAAATATCGTCTTTTAAAAGCTAAACATCAGCTGCATTTAAAATAAAGTGTATTTTCTGGTGTATTAGGGTAATCAATGATATCATGTATCCTCCTATCCTGCGGCAAAATAGATACTTTGAGGATTTTAAAGCATACTAGAATGAGAAAAATACCACTGGCTAGTGGATAAACAAAATATCCTAAGACAACACAATCTCTGCCAGATTATATATTTGATACTCTTTATGTGATATGTCCAGGTTAATTTTCTGTCATATAGCAGTTCTGGAAATTTTGCTGATGTTGCTTTCTTGAAACTAGTTCCATCAAGGCTTTTTTTTTGTTTTGTTTTGTTTTTAATTTCGCGCAAAGCTACACGAGGGCTATCTGCGCTAGCCGTCCCTAATTTAGCAGTGTAAGACTAGAGGGAAGGCAGCTAGTCATCACCACCCACCGCCAACTCTTGGGCTACTCTTTTAC